TTTTCTCAAAGCACTTAAGCTGAGGCTGTTTAAGTCAACTGCTGTAGGAAAATATGACTGAATTTTCTATTCAAGAAAGTATCACAACTGGATTGTTTATTTCAAGAAAAACTTTGAGAAAATCAAGTATTGTATTACTATCTTAGAATAACATATTATAAAATTAGCATTCTATTAATTGCCCATTATTCTTCAGTTATATTTTCAATATAAGTATTTTGCCAACACATTACCTTATTTTAGCACCAACTAATACCCAGTTTTCCTTCTAATTTTAAGTATAAAAAGGCCCTCACATTTAGACCAATTTTATTTTGAAAATCTTGTTTGTATAAATAGTTAAATTTTATTTCCAAGTTTCTGTACTCATAGGCATTTCATTCCAAGAGGAAATTCAATTAATAATTAAGTTTATATGCTCATGATCAATTAAAAAGAGGACATACTGTATAATCTGGCTATTCTTCTGAAGCTTAAACATTCACATTTTTCAAGAACTAGCACACTAATTGCTATAACTTGACTCAATTTTACTTTAAGGAAACAGGAAATTTTAAGGCTAAAGTTTCAACATATACATTTCAGTTTCTAGTAACTAAAAACACCCCCACCTTAGTATTATCATGCACATTCTCATAAAACGCTTCTAAAGTAATGACGGTGAAGGTAAAGACTAGAGAAGTCTGAAGGTTATGGACGACACGAAATCCAAAACAAAAAAATTCAAATCACACCCTGAATATCCTCCTCCTCTTTTTAGGAATGTCTGTAGCTAGCCCAACATCACAGGTCTAGGCAGAAGCATGCTGATGTTGGCATTGCCTAAACCAAACAAACAAGATGTTTAACAGTCAAATAAAATGTCCTGCAGCCTCCCTAATGAATTTGTCAAGGACCATCAGATTTCTCTTCCCCTCTTTTGCCTCATTAACTCAAGTATGATGAGACGGATTATAACAAGAGAATACAGATCAATCGGTCTGAAGACTTGAAGTGGCTTTTAGCCTCTAGAGTTTCTTTCTCTCACTTGGTCTCCTTTAATAGAATACGGTATCTCCTGCAGAAGGGGCTGCCACTTCATTTTAATACACCATCAAGGAGCTGCTGATGGACTTCTATACTAACATACATAAAAGCAGAGGTGACAGGGGCTCTTCAATTACAGCCTCCTCCGATACCGTTTCCCCCTTCAATTATTCAACCAGAGGAAGAGCGGATCCGCAAACACACAGCTGAAGCAGCTCTTAGAGCAGAGGCAGCCAGAGAGTGTTGGGGTGGGGGAGGGGGGAGAGGAAGGGAACTAGCAAGAGCGAGCATTATTTGCTGGAAGTGTTTAAGTTTATTGCTCGAATGATGTTTCTAATTAGTACCATGGCAATAAATTAAAGTCGCCTTTGTTTAACTGATTTATTATTTACTACAGCATCTACCTCAGACAAGGTAAATTGGTAATGAATTGTTTTTAAATCAAAACATTTGTAACGTTTTATCATCCCTCAGCCTCTGTACCTAAAAGTGGAGAAACCCAGAGACAAGGGTGCCACGAAACTTAGTTGAGGCCGCCAGAGCAGGAAAAAGAGGAGTGGGGTATCAGGGAGTGGTGGCGCGAAGATCCGAGTGGCCTGGGCCGCCCCACCCGAGGAGGGCGGGCGCTGGGCGCCTACCCATGGACCTGGGGGTGAAGACGCCGCACTGGAGCCGAGAAGATGGACAACTGTCGTCACCCCTGGGACTTTTTGCAAACACTCCCAGGAGTGTCGCGGACCGGGCAGGTCCACGCGCAAGGCCTCCCCTGCTCGCGGACGATGTGAGGAAGAAGCGGCCACCTCGAGGGTCTGGGAGGGAAAGCTCTGCACCCTCTGTCCCCGACACAAGTCTCCGCCCAGTAACTGCCCTCGGGAGAAGCTGCAACGGATCCTCTCATGGCTGGTCGCACAACTCTGCAGCAAAGTGCCCCTCCTGCCCCGTAATATTTCCCAGAGTGCCAGTGTGACCCCGAGAGCATTAGCCAGGTTACCCACAGAGTCTGGGCTTCGCACTTGCGCGAACCCCGAAGATGCCGCGGCTCTGCTCTATCCTTCCACCGCCAAGCATTCCGAGATGCAAGCTGCGCCCCCAGGAAGGCTGGAGCCTGAAGCCGCCCCAAGTCTCTGCCACTACGGAAGAAGTTGACTATAAAGCTCGGAACCCCAGAGTTTGGTGTACGCTTACTTCCGACTGTTCTTCCCCACTCCTGGCTACTAAAGACATACCCTACACAAAATCCGACTTGATTTTTAAAAAGCCAACCAGTTCTTTAGAAAGGGGCTTATGGCAAAGAGAGCGAGGGGGTGACAAGGCACCAGTCATCCGCTCCAGACATCTAAGAAAGAACCAAGAGGTCCAAGTATCTGACATCAAGTACATGGAGAGAAATAAAATTTCCTTATGCAACTGAATTCAAGTTCACCTGGTCCAGCTTTTAAGAGGGCACCTCAAGCCCTCCCAAGGGGTTTTGCAAAAGCCGCATGTACACTGGTTTTGCAAAAAGAAGTCTTTGCCCAAATGGCTTCATAGATTTTCATTTCTTATGTCATTATTGGAGAATATAATGCCCAAAATCTAACTAAAAATAATTCCATCTACTTGATTTGTCTTAAAAAAAGACTCAGCATCTAGACACCTGAGATTCAAACACAAACCCTCAATACTAAGCAAATCAAAAACACTGTTACAGTTTCTTCCATCCAAAAGTAGGGAAAGGCTACAAGGGGTACAGCTTGAACATATAATACATACACTAAAAGCACATGCATGAGTTTTCACTGAAATGCCAAGGGAGGAGTGAAGCCATCTGTATAATCAATAACAGGATAGTTATAGATTTTTGCAGCAGTGAAGTCTTTTAAAAGCAACAGTCAATTATGAAAATAAAATCATTTTACAAGTGAAACTCTGTACTGCCTCAGAGTATATTCAAAACTAGATTTACAACATTTAACATTTTAAGAAAACTTTAACTCAGGTTCACTTTTACTTCCCTTCATTTTTTATTGTTTAAAACAATTTTCGTGGCTTATGTTAATTTAAAAGTATATCCAACAATACTCAACCATATATAAATTTGCACTCTTTCTCACAACTTAAACATATTTTCTAATAACTAGTTTTTTTAAACAATAAATAGCATAAAATATATCTGAATCTTAATTATGACGGAGTTATCAAACAAGGTGCTTGCACTATTTTTACCCTGCCCCATTTTTCAACAGCATATGGAAATTACTGAATAGAGATTTATGGTCATAAACCTTCACCCCATATCCACTTCGCACACAAACCCCAACTGGTGCACACATACAGCAATTGCTCTGGCTCTTGGCAACAATGGCAGAGAAGGGGAAGAGAAGGGAGGAAGAGTTTGCCAGAGGAGAAAATCTAGAAAAACATAGGTTCTTTCCCAGATTCCCCCTCCTCCTTCTATTTGCCTTCAAGCAAAAGTAATTTTGTCAGAGTTTGCACCTTCTGCACAATGTTGATAGGAAAAAAAAAGTGAACCTTTCTCAACCACTGCTACTCTCTCGCGTTATTCCAGCCATCTCCAGAAGTCCCTTCTATATAGACTCTCTTTTTCTTCCTTGCAACTGATAAGAGGAGAGGATAAAGAAGGGGCTGTAAAATGTGTGTGAGCATTTGACTTCTACTATCTCCTCCTATTTTCTTACTTCTCGCTTTACCCCCTTTCTTTATCAAGTGCAGCGGTGGCTGCTACTGTCTGCCAAGCATGCCTGTCTTCTCTCTCGGATTGGCTAAAGCACTGACAGCTCGGATAGCGATTGTAGGAACTGAAGCTCCGCCCCCCTCATGATGGCCCTGGACCATTCATAAACTAAATAACTCCAGGAAACAGCAAGGCAGAGAGAGAGAGAGAGAGAGAGAGAGAGATTGAGAGAGAAGAGAGGGGGAGAGAGAGAGAGGAAGAGAGAGAAAAGGAGGGAGGTGGGAGGGAGAAAAAGAGGGAGGGAGAGGGAAAAGGAGAGAGACGACGTTGGAGGGGAGGAGGGAGAGACGACTCAGAAAGTGGAATCAGCACAAGCAACCTAAAGGGGGAGGAGAAGAAAAACCCCTGAATCCTTATAACGAAACCCCAGATGCAACGCAGGCAACGACTTCGTCACACTAAAACAGATTTTGTGAGGGCCAAAATTATAAATTACGAAGCAGAAATGAATATCAAACAACTTCCAGCGGTTTGCACCTAGAGAAAAACAAGAAGAAACCACTGCAAACAAACCAACCCAGTCCAAACAACGCCTCCAGTAGGAAAAGAGGAAAACCGCTACAACAGGACCCCCTGAGAAGAGACCAGACCATCACGCTGAGAGTGCCGGGGAGGCGTCTGCAAACCTCCAAGTGTGCCGCGGACTGAGCTGCACTTCACTGCTCTCTGGACCTTAATTACGTCCTTCACCTTCCATTTGGGGGAGGGTGAGGAAAAAGGCACTTACCTACGCTGAGTGAAGAAGTCCTACCAGCGTGGGAGAGAAGTTTAAGAATGAAACACTGAATGTTTCGCTTTTATTTTTAAATTTATTTTGGCACTTAAAAGACCTCATTTCCAGATTTCTGGGCAATCTCGGCTGCATACATCTAAGCCTAACCTCTTGGTAACCTGAATTTTTCTCTCACCCCCACTCTCCCCCCCCCCACTTCATCTCTCTCACAAGCACATCTTTATTTTACACATCAAGCAAAAAAAGTCCCAGCAGGTAATTTTCCTCTTCAAAGATTACTTTTTTCTTATTTCTGGAGAAGAAAAAAGGTTTCTAAAGAGGGGAAAGAAAGAGCAAGCCGGCTGTTTTATCAGCCGGTCAGTCCAGGTGGAAAACAAGAGTGAAAGTGGGGCTTAGGGGAAGCGCGACGCCTCTTTCGCCTGCCGCAGGGCCACCACCACTGCGTAAGCCTTGGATCCCTCAACGTATTGCGAGACGCCGGTGTATAGCCCGGACCTGTGCCCCAACATGATCGCCGCTCAGGCCAAGCTGGTTTACCAGCTCAATAAATACTACACTGAGCGCTGCCAAGCGCGCAAGGCGGCCATCGCCAAGACCATCCGAGAGGTCTGTAAGGTGGTCTCGGACGTGCTAAAGGAAGTGGAGGTACAGGAGCCTCGCTTCATCAGCTCCCTGAGCGAGATCGATGCCCGCTACGAGGGGCTGGAGGTCATCTCGCCCACGGAATTCGAGGTGGTGCTCTACCTAAACCAGATGGGCGTCTTCAACTTCGTGGACGACGGCTCCCTGCCCGGCTGCGCGGTGCTCAAACTGAGTGATGGGCGGAAGCGGAGCATGTCTCTCTGGGTCGAGTTCATCACAGCGTCCGGCTACCTCTCAGCGCGCAAGATCCGCTCACGTTTCCAGACCCTGGTGGCTCAGGCGGTGGACAAGTGCAGCTATCGGGATGTGGTCAAGATGATCGCGGACACCAGCGAGGTTAAGTTGCGCATCAGGGAGCGCTACGTGGTGCAAATCACTCCCGCGTTCAAGTGCACCGGTATCTGGCCTCGCAGTGCGGCACAGTGGCCTATGCCCCATATCCCCTGGCCCGGCCCCAATCGGGTGGCGGAGGTCAAGGCCGAAGGGTTCAACTTGCTGTCGAAAGAGTGCTACTCACTGACCGGCAAGCAGAGCTCTGCAGAGAGCGATGCCTGGGTGCTACAGTTCGGGGAGGCTGAGAACCGCCTGCTGATGGGCGGCTGCCGAAACAAGTGTCTCTCGGTGCTGAAGACGCTGCGGGACCGCCACTTGGAGCTACCGGGCCAGCCGCTCAATAACTACCACATGAAGACGCTGCTGCTGTATGAGTGCGAGAAACACCCGCGGGAAACGGACTGGGACGAGGCGTGCCTAGGCGATCGGCTCAACGGCATCCTGCTGCAGCTCATCTCCTGCTTGCAGTGCCGCCGCTGCCCTCACTACTTTCTGCCCAACCTCGACCTTTTTCAGGGCAAGCCCCATTCGGCCCTGGAGAGCGCTGCCAAGCAGACCTGGAGGTTGGCCAGGGAAATTCTCACCAATCCCAAAAGCCTGGACAAACTATAGGGTGCTGGGGACTGCTTGAAAAGCGACACAAACAGGAATGCTCTCTCACACACAAAACACACAACTCAGCTACAAACAGCAGAAACTCCAGACACAAACTTTTATGTAAGCCACCTAAAGAAACAGGAAGCAGGCACAAGACCTTCGTTAATTAACAAGCAAACAAAGAGAGCAAACCAACCAACCAAACAAACAAAATCACATTCTTGCACAAAAGTGATCGTTTTTCTTCCAAACAATGTGAATTTAAAAGGTCACACAAAAGAAGCAATCGGGCTTTGCCACCACAAAATGAAACCCAAGGTACATTTTCAAATCAATGTATAGTAGTTTCTCCTCTTTTCCTTCTCTCCCTTTCTCCTTTCTCCCCTCTCTCATCTTCTTTCTTTCCCTCTCCCTCTCCCTCTCATTTCGTTTTGGGTTGCCTGAATGTTGTCACCAAGTGAGAAAAAGTATTTAATTATATGTAAAATTTCTCTTTTAAAAAAAGTTTTGCTGATGTTAAATGTATCTCAGTGCCAATGTCAGATTGTGCCCCTCCCTTTCTTGCACCTCTACCCTCACCCTAAGCAGTCTTGTTGAAAACAGTAATAAAAATATTACTTTACGTTGTAATTGACTGTGGATTGTTCTTAAATGAAGGCAGGTGAGATCACAATTTATAATTTACAATGTAAAGATGTGAACTTCAGGAACTAAATGCAAGAAGCTTTCAAAGGAAGTCTAATTTGCAAAATTTACAAATACAGCCCTTTTTTGTAGGTTTAACCATACAAGTCCCCTCCCCCCATCCTTGGATCTTGAAAATATTGATTTTACCCAACTATAATGTTTGTTCTGTAAATTTTGAGGTTTAAAGTAGTATCTTTCTTCACACTTGAAAAAAAAAACAGATTTTTGTATGGAAGAAAAGATTTTGGTCCTAATGTTTAAAATAGAAAAAAATTACTTCACATTAAAAATTAAGAGATTTGCTTTCTTACATCATAATTTTAAAAAATCCATTCTGAGTCTGAAAAACAAAGGCAATATTCATGGATCTTTTCTCAATAGTTAACATGATCAGTTGATACTTTGCTTTCAATTATTTGTCCTCTTCGAGCTTTAAATAATAAAAACTTAACAATTAAATCAGCCATACCGAAAAAGAATAAAATGGTTATAGCAATACTCCTTTTCCCCAGGAAACAGTGATGTGAACAATCCAGATTTAGAAACTACCTCAGTTTTTTAAGGTTTTAAGGTAAATGCCATAACTATGATCATTATTTGTCAAATTCCCAGAATTATTCAGAAGGTGCTTATAGGCAATTGAAAAAAGGTTTTAATACTATTTTTATGACCAAAGAAAAATTACTGTTTCAAGAATTTACATACAGGAAAAGTACATTACTCCTTCTGCTTTCCTAAGGTAACAATCCAATGTACTCATTTTAACACTTCATCTAAATTAACAAAGGTTTTTTTTTTAATACAAGGAAATAACTAATTAAAAATAAAATAATTAGTAAAACTGAAGGCATCCCAAAGGAACTGGTTTGGTTTGTCTTCTTTTTGTTTTCTTCAATATACTCCATTAGATATGCTAATAAGGAGGCACAGGTACAGAAAGTATGTCAGATATTACCCTTTAACATTTAAAATTTATTCTTTGAATTAGTCTAGTTTTTAATTTACTGAAAAATCCATGAATGAGAGGTGTAGACAAAAATGTTCTAAAAAGGAATTTTAAAGATCTGAGGAAGAACTTTGCACGGGGGAGGGAGTGTATGGAGGGATGATCCACAGGACAGAATAGATGGATGAGAAACAAGGAAGGTACTCAGGGCTCTGGTGCCTAGTTCACTTGACAAAAGAGGCTTAAGTTCTCAGATTCCCTGGTAAGAATTCCCTAGTAAAAATAGTTTTGTTTTAGAAATATAAACTTTGATCTTATCAGTTCTGAAATAATCTTTACTCTTTCAACCTACACTGTATCTTTTTCTGATCTCTCTTCCTGTAGATGTAAAACAAACTCACTGTAATACTAAGTGGTTCAGACAAAAATACTGATTTTTTAATAACAAAAATGAACTATTCCCCGGGGAAAATGTTCTGATTTTTTTTAGGAACATTTTCAAAGCAAGTAGTAGGTGCTCACATTTACAAAGAAATGATTTAAGGGCACAGTGTTTAGTTTAAAAGATAAAAATGACATCTTAAAATGACCTTTTTTCTTCTTATGCACACAAGTATTTACAGCATTAGAGACTATCTCTCTCCAACTATCCCAGGAAGAAGTTTTTAAGTCCTGACAAGAAGAACAAAAATTCCCCAAATTCAGTATTTTTTTCCTACCTTATTTAACGCAGGTATCACCAACAAAAAAATAAAAACACTGCCACAACACAAGTGTCCTCATCTATAAAACACCTAAAAGCACCAACGTCTACACAAAATAAAAATTTCTTTCAATAATTGGCTGAGAAATTTTAAGAATATAAATTAGCAAAACTCTGATTTCTATAACATTAGGCAGGTTACAGGGGTACAAGACAAATGAGTGATTAGGCTAAAAGATCTTTGTATTGCACAAGCAATACAGGAAAAATTAATGATGTTGCACAGAATAAAATTAGAAAGAAATAAAAGTTCTAACTTCTCTCAAAAGGAGTAAATAACTTTAAAGAGCCTCACTGCAAAGACTGGCAGAGATCCTAATCTTGAGAACAATTAGACACCTTTAAATTACATCCCATTTTAGATTCTATGCCACATATGTCCAAAAGCATAACAGAATATTCTGAATTAAATTTCAGCCTCTCAAACATACAAAGTACCATAAATTAGAGTTTAAGTAATTTTGGTTACCTTTATTTCCTAAAGAAACTAAAATACAATTTCAGATAGTAGAGCCATGTAACAAAGTAGGAAATTTTTCTAGTTGATGTAATTTCACAATTAAAGTTTTCTCTACATTGAATTGGCTGAATTATCAAGCTCAAAACAGTTGCTTCCAACATAGCCTTCCTTTTATACAGTCTATCAAATCTTATCTTTATAAAGGCAGCAATTCTGAAACAAAATGCTAGAAACACATGTAAGACAAGAGACGATTTGTTTGCAAAGTTTTAAATAAAATTATAACATTTTTATCAATGATTACTTTGAAATACTTCTAAATCACTAAAATTTAATAATTCACATGATTACAGTACCAAAGAACTTCCTACCAATAAACTCAAAATATGTGTGTTCACACAAGCTATCAGACTCTAAGATAAATAATTCCATTTTTTAAGCCACTTCTCTTCTACAGGTTGCTTATTTTGCTCCTTTTAAAAGAGACTGTTTCCTATCAGAACAAATTCACTTTCATGAAATAAACCTAGCTTTGGCTTTATGGCTGTGCCACAAATGTTTCTTAGTAAAACAGAGTTGCCAAGGTCTGAAAAGTAATCAGAAATACATTTTAAAGGGGAAATTACATTTTCATTTAAGAATAGGAAATTATGCAGTGCCTTGTAAAATCGACTGTAGGTAATGGGAAACAGAGGTATCTCACACACACAAGACATGCTTGCGTGCGCAACAGAATAGTAAGTCATGAGGACAAAGCAAGGAGAGTGATATATTGGTATTATATCCAGAAAATATAAAGGCTAAACAAAATAATTCCACTCTCAACCTCACTGAATTTTGTAGCTTAATTCACCCTGGACCTTTTGTGGCAAAATATATTTATGGACGATATTCCCTGTGGTTTTCCCCCAACCCCAGAATGAGCTAATGATAAACGCAATTAAGTGGAAATTGTTTTTGAATCTAAATGAACTTCAATAATCTAACTAGCTGGTAAGGGAATCATAAGCTAAAGAAGATAGTTGCCTTGCATGTAGGCAGAAGCAATTCAGCAAGAAATTCAAACTAAGTCTGTCAGATTTTACCAATGCCAATCCTACCCAACAGCAGCCCACCGTCCCATCGTAAGAAAAAAATGTTTAAAAGTGAAACCCACTCCTCATCTTCTCACCTTGGGGTCGATTTTCTTGAAGTTAGAGTCCTCTTCATCCACCTCAAAATAGAGTTCGGAGGAGGTGACAGAAAGAGTGCCCTTTACTACAACAGAGGGGGCCACAAGCTGAGCCGGTGTGCTCAGGCTAACAGGACCTGCCAAAAGCAAAAGACAAGCCACACATGTTGGACTGACATTTTTCAAAAAAATCTAATAGATTCAAGTGGAAATTTTATTTTTAAATTCTCTCTAGTACCAAATTGTCTGCCAAATTGTCTACACTTACAAATTCTGTCTACCCCAAATCTTCCTCTGAAAATGCAGTTACTAGGATTCTCATACTAAGAAATTTATAGTAGGTGGTTAATGATAACAATAAACTAGGATGCAATTATTTTACAGGGAGTCTGCAAAGCTTTGGTCTAATCTCCTGGTAAGAAGGTGGCTCTGCCTAAATAAGTCCTTCCACATTCCATTTAGAAAACAAGCCTCAGGCTATCCAACAACATGGAACAACAACCAGAAGCAAGGAAGACTCAATAGGTTTCTAAGGCCAGAGGTTAGCTTAGTTTGGCTGAAACACGATTACAACAAAGATCACTAGCTTATTAGTGAAGTGAGAAACGTTATACCATATTCTCTGATAAAGATTTTGTGCCAGGTTGACACAAAACCTCTTCATAACAACTTTACCCCATGAAAGACTGGTAAAAAATACTCCTTTTCTAAGCCTGCCTTTCCACTGTTAAATATTGTTCAATGCTTCCAAATCTAATATTAGTGTAGTTCAGGGACTCTGGGAGTAAACAGCTGGAGGGTGGGTTTCCAAGTGAATGAATTTTTATTGGAATAATCAAATCTCCACAGGGCTTATCAAAAAGACAAATCAGCCTGCTACTGAAAACAATAGATTCACTACAGATAGAAGAGCATAAAGTATATTAGAGCTAAACCTAAAATAAAGGACTAAAAGTAATAATTATATTACATACATATATATACTTAGGTAGAGAGAGAAAGTAAGAATTTGAAATCCCATCAATTCCTCACTGTACAAATCCTATAGGTGAAGAAAACAGCAACAGAAAAT